AAAGAGGTGAGGATAATTAAACTTACTTCTTCTTGTTATTGAATGTAATGAGTAATGAATTAATTTTGTAATGACAAATGACAAGTTTGTGAACGTTGCCTTCCAAGCAGTGTGGCAAATTCTCCTTCTTGCGGCCTGAAATTCACTATATTGTGAATCCAGCACCGCTTTCTTTTCTTCCTTTGCTGTCTTTTATACAGCAAGTATAAAAGGAGAGCCTTTTTTCCTTACTCTGAGCAGCCATTAATAGACACAGTCAGGACCACTTGCAGAGATCAGCACTGCACGACATAGATTCCAGCGTTAAAAACCGCCTCTTGTGAAAGATTGAGCGTAAATACTGCCGTGGATTTTTTGACGCGCGTGGTATTTGTCGCCATGTGCGAAAGCTGCTTAGCCGAAAAAACAGCTGTGGACTATCTTAATAAAATGCAAATAAAACTGTTTTAAAATATATACATTTTCAAAAAATCTTATTTCACTTTAAACTTCAATCCGTAATAAGAACTCAACCTTTCTAAAGTAAAAAACTATAAATACCGAATATAGACCAACCCATGAAATGCAACAAGAACAAACATTACCTGCACGTAAGCGAAGGATGAACCTCTAATTTTTTATCCAGGGCACAAAGCAGTTCAAGCTCAGCACCGGCGCCACCACAGCTGGGGACGTGACGTCACTGAGCGCCCAGAACCTCTGCGCGGCCGATGGCCTCCAGTTTGCTGTGATCGCGACCGCCGCTGAGCAGCAGCAGGTCCTTGCCCAAGTGGGAGCCGGTGAGTCATACTTGTGACTTTTGTGATTATATTTTAAAATTAGGGACCCAAGCAGTGAATGTTTGGAATGCATCAGAATTAAATGAGCGGTAACTGCAAGGTGAGGGGAAAATGAATACGGTCCGTCTCTGCAGCCGTCCTGACAGTGCACTCCTCAGTGCCATGACGGCCGCAGGATGTCTCATGGATGCGGTGAGTACCGCTTAAGGTATAAAATCTATCGGCAAGCAAAGTTTGCCATCATCGTATGCTGATGATTGGAAAATGCGGAAGCGGTCTAGCTAGTGAACCATCAAGTCAGGGTTAGTCGGATGGGGGGAGCTGATGTATTGGGGGAGACCGGAGCAACATCAGAATCTGATTTGCATCAGGTTCTGCGTAGGTTGTTCGTCGTCGGGAACGTATACACCTGCCCCATTGTCGTTTGGCAGGACAGAGTACTGTAAGACGTGGGAATGCTAGCAGCGCGGTATTGAGTCCCTTTAGGTCTGTGACTCGTGCCAAACGTTTGGTTGCACCAAACGCCCTGTGGTTCGGCTAAGGCGTGTAATTCAGAGACCAGACTGCGCTAGCGTCTTACAATTTTGTTTCGTATTGGGGAATGTAACACAGTAGGAGTTCTCATAATTTACTGGGTCAAGGTCCGGAGGAAAGATTACGAACGGTATTACAGATATGCAAATGATTATGACAACTGGTGTTACTTGATGTTGCAATATCCTAGGTCGGTGCTAATAATATTAATATGTAGCCAAATAATATTTAACAGACTATCAACTGCAGTTGCTAATTGATAATGATGCTAAAGCAATAACATGGATAATAATGTTGAGTCAGAGTTAATGGGTAACTCTGCTAAAATTCACTAGGCTAGCAACGTTCTTCGAAAATGAGTTACGGGGGTAACTGGAGGAAAAATATATACATGGTCGCTACAGATATCACCCCTCTAGATCGAAAGAGATTCGATCGTTACCTAACATCTAGGTTTGACAAAGCGACCTGAACGCGTCTTGTAGCCAGTAGATTGGTTATCATTTTCTAAACATACAGGTTTTAAGCGATCGATGGATACAGTTTCATGCTTTCCTTGACAATCGATATTAAAAGTTTTATTGAAACGCTCCAAAACTTTATAAGGGCCATCATATGGAAGCTGCAAGGTGAGACGCAGAACATGACGCAGAAAACCATATCGCGACGCAGAAAAACATGAGTGCAAGTTTTTAAATCATCCGATACAAAGGGTTTCATTGAGGTTCTGTTTCGCGGAGCTGTTGGCCGAAGTTCTGTCATTCGTTCGCGGAGCTGGCCGCTGAACTGTTGAGGGTCGACTGGTGTAGAAGAAGGGACAAAAATTTCGCCAGGGAGCCACAGACTTGTTCCGTATACCAATTCTGCGGTTGTGCAAGATAAATCTGGTTTAAGTAATAATGTCACTTGTTTGCTTTAATCGCAAATTCACTAAAAACTTAAAAGCAAAGAAAACTCCACAAAAATTCATAGTATCTTTAAAGAAAACGTTTCGGAGTCCAGCTCCATCGTCAGTTCGAAAATTCTAGATACAGCACAGTATGTAGTGTGAAGTTTGCTACAGTACAGCACAGTATATAGTGTGAAGTTTGCTCCAGTACAGCACAGTATGTAGTGTGAAGTATGCTACAGTACAGCACAGCATATAGTGTGAAGTTTGCTACAGTACAGCACAGTATATAGTGTGAAGTTTGCTACAGTACAGCTCAGTATGTAGTGTGAAGTTTCTTTAGTACAGCACAATATGTCGTGTGAAATTGCTACAGTACAGCACAGTATGTAGTGTGAAGTTTGCTGCAGTATAGCACAGTATATAGTGTGCAGTTCGTTACAATACAGCACAGTATGTAGTGTGAAGTTTGCTACAGTACAGCACAGTATTCAGTTCAGAGGCCTCATGTCTGTGGCCAGCCCTGCCGAGCTGCTAAACAAATGTATCTTCATTAAAATAAACATTTATTTTAGTCCACTTAGAGCTGCTTTATTTTCCCTATGAAAACGTGAGCCTATTGAAAAGGAGTCAGCGCTTGGCTTGGATAAGCAGAGTTTGGCTTGGATGAGCAGAGTTTGGCTTGGATAAGCAGAGTTTGGCTTGGATAAGCAGAGTTTGGCTTGGATAAGCAGAGTTTGGCTTGGATAAGCAGAGTTTGGCTTGGATGAGCAGAGTTTGGCTTGGATAGGCAGAGTTTGGCTTGGATAAGCAGCGCTTGGCTTGGATAAGCAATGCTTGGCTTGGATAAGCAGAGTTTGGCTTGGATGAGCAGAGTTTGGCTTGGATAGGCAGAGTTTGGCTTGGATAAGCAGCGCTTGGCTTGGATAAGCAATGCTTGGCTTGGATAAGCAGAGTTTGGCTTGGATGAGCAGAGTTTGGCTTGGATAGGCAGAGTTTGGCTTGGATANGTACTCAACAAGTGTCAGATTACGATCGTTAACCCATTAGCGACAACCACTTGTTACACGCAGGATTGGTCAACGCCTGGGCTGGCAACGTACCCGTGCACTATAAATGGTGCCATTCCTGTGATCTGCCAGACTTATCTGTGAGCCTCCCAGAGTTTGGAGGTAGCAGCTGCTTACAAGCTGTTGACTGAACGGGGACTTAGCGAAGAAAGTTAGAAACTCAACTGATTGGATGCTATATTACGTGCGATCACCTGCATCGAGGACGTGTACAGTTAGCATGCATTTTTAAGTGATTATTGTGGATTCTTTCTAATTATCTCACATGACTGTGTAATTCACATGACTTCTATTCGCCGAGCCACTCACCATGCCACTCACATGTTGTGAGTGAGTACCTGGAATGTATACCTTCGTCAATCTGCCCTACAAACTATATATAGTGTGGAGTTGCCACAGTACAGCACAGTGTATATAGTGTGAAGTTTCTACAGTACAGCACAGTATATAGTGTGAAGTTGCTACAGTACAGCACAGTATGTAGTGTGAAGTTTGCTACAGTACAGCACAGTATCTGTCTCTTATACACATCTAGATGTGTATAAGAGACAGACCAGCCACTTGTGCTTACAAGCTTCTCAGCACCAGCCACTTGTGCTTACAAGCGTCTCAGCACCAGCCACTTGTGCTTACAAGCTTCTCAGCACCAGCCACTTGTGCTTACAAGCGTCTCAGCACCAGCCACTAGTGTCCGTTCGTCAATTTTCCAGCTGACGATCCGATATAGTTATTTAATGAACTGATAAGTTATCAACAGTGAAGTTAATTTTCTGAGGAACCTAGTTCTAACTTCTGCTATAGTTAGGAAATCCCCTAATAGTTCGGTAATTTGATGTATTCTGTAAACAAAATTAATTAATTTATCGTCCCTCCATTTATCCCTATAAACTGTGTGAAACAGTTGGAGAATTGTGACGCGTAACGAATATAATATGATCGATGTTAATAGTTATTACTGAGCAAATAACTTTGACTCGCACCTCTCATATTTTTTCGACTTGAATTTTTGGATTAAATCTTGAACTTTGAAAAAATTGTTTATCAGAGGTAAAATAAGAGAAAAGCCCGATGAAATGACAGCAGTTACGATTCAGAATAAAATGAGCGAGACATACCGTGACCCCAAATAAGTTCTGTCATTTGTTCAGTTGTACTAACTGAACATTTTGTGCGAAAAATTTTATTAAACATCAATTCACACATTAACTTTATTTTTGAACGACGAAAAGTGAGTTTTGAGACACTTGCATGCATTAAAATTTACATGTATTCTCAGAAAAAATAATATTATTTTATTCATAATAATTTTAGCAATACAGCTTAACGCATTAAGTAAAAATTAATAATGCTGCGTTAATCTAGGTAATTATGAGACGATTTATGTGCATATTATTTCTGTTCATATTCAATTTTCAAAGCAACTTTAATTGCCAGGCAATGTTGATATGAAAAAGACTTTACTGCACGTTTGAAGCGGCGGCGGTGAACAGTCAGCCGAGTTTGGCCTGTCACCCCTTAATTTTAAGGCCCTTGTCTTACATATTTGGGTAACTTAAATTTCAAAATGACTGAGACAGAGATAAACCTATGACTAAAATTAAACGTTTTCTAAACAATATTTACTTAATTCTGTTCCAACTCCTACTCAACTTAACTTTAATTCAAAAAATTAGAGGAAGATCACAAACTAAAACTGTGGCGTAAGTAATGCTACTGAAATCGTAAGTGTGATCTATTCATCAACGCGAATGGCAGTGCATCTACTCCTGCATTCATTCGTATTGGTATAATTCGGAATTCCATTCACAGCATTCTTTTCGGATAAAATAACTCTATTAATATAGAACGTATATTGCATGACTTTTTTGCAGTCGGAGCGAAGTACTTACGACCCACTTGCTAGAAAGAAGCTCAAGGTACACAGTTATAGTAGAAATATATTGATATATTAATTAAAATTTCCATGTATTATAAATCAATATGCTAACATAACGATAGTTTATTACTATTCAGAAACCCGGCAATGACCTAACAGTTTGAAGCGTTCAATTCTATTGATTTTTTTAGTCTGTTGTTATTGAGTGTACATCTAAATATATTTAATCTAAATCCAAATTTATTGAATTAAGCTACTAAAGAAATAGTCCATGTTCAGTGTTTACCTGGTCACATAAATTTTCTCCTAAGTTCAGTTCAACATCAGCTCTGAACTCGAGAACTGTAAACTCGACTCACACCTGTTTCCTGATCCAGCCTCTCCCTAATGTGTGAGTACTTGGACGTTTTATCATTCAGCATCAGCAAACAACCTTGACACCTCTTCAACGTCTGAGTACATCTGTCGTTTGCGCATTATAGGTCCATGAGATATGGAGTAGCAAGGCAAAGCCAAGTTACAACAACTCAACTTCCGTACGCTGTTTTATGCATGGTTCAGCCCCATCCCGAGGGCGTCATACGGCAGGGATAATAATATTTGATGTATCCATTCGGGGCACTGGGCTCAACTTGTTATGTATAATTTTATTTCAAGTAATACTCAGCCTCGTTTTAGTGATTACGCTAATTTGAAATTTGTCAGGTGGAATACTGCTCATTGAAGTGAAAAAAATCCGTGGGGAATTTAATGCTTGTGCAAGTTCGACCGCCCAAAGCGAACTACAGCAATGACTTGAAGAATTTCGTATTTTCTTCTGCTGGCATGACCGTACACTCCACCAGAGGAACATGAAACGCTGAATGTTTTCGAGCAGCGTAAAACACCATTTATATAAAATACTATATAATGAGTATAAATTCGAGCAGTAATACATAGTGTTTTGCGGGCTCAGTCGAGAGAGCTAAACTTTCCCCTACAAAAGTTAACAAAGCACTTTTAAGATCAATTTATTTTAACTTGCATATTTTAATCCGACAAATTTAATATAATGTGGGCTTAATATAAATTTTAATAAATAAACACATACAACTAGTTGTTATTAACTTGAATATGGCTATAAATCATATATGGGGCTTCCCGTTATTTAACCGCAAAACCAGCAGGGGCATAGTCCCTCCTATTTTTTGAAACTTATATATATAGACACGCCTGGGATTAATGGTCATTATTAAATTAAATACTATCAAAATAATAAAATTTGTATCTGTGTAACGAGTTTATTCTCCTCGTTTATATTCTTATGCAAATTATTTTATTATTAGCCTAGCTCCTTAATTAGTCGCCCTGACTTCCATCACTGTTTCCTTCTAGCGATTCATTTATTCGAAATTTGCCTCACAGTTGGGACCAAAACAAATGAATCAACCAGCTTCATTCATCGTGAAATTATGAACGTGATGAGAACCGTGACCCAGAACGCTGTGATGATTGAGACAAGAACGAGCCCTAACACCCGCATGTACGGTCTCTTGCTGCTCCCGTCAACCTCCTGAAATATTAGTAAATTCAGGAGATTTACATCGACACCCAAATTTACCACATACACAAATAATTTATTTCGCAAAGATATACTGAAAATACAAGTTGTAAGTAAAAATTATAGAACATTTTTTTTGGAAAATTGAAACTTTAAAGTGATCAGATGAGTAGAATGGTATCTGTAGGGTAGAATCTTATTGATGAATGAATTACTCGATTTTTGTTTCAGGTAAGCACCTCTGAGTATCTTCAATTGATTAAAGTGAAACCTGTTGATATTGATAGAAGGATCCGTTGACCCAATAATCAGTTTGCTATTAAAATAATAAAATGGAAAAATGAGTTGTTAACGACTCACCAATGGCTTAGTGGGTTTTTGACAGACAGGCATGTCGCGAAATTTCACAATGCAAAAATTTTGCCTTCGTTATGATTTCAAATTAATCTGTGCGAATAGGTCTTCCACTAAAATTAACAAATCAGGCAGTTCATAAATTCAATTCAAGTTCATTATTTTAGTCTCACCAGAAGCAAAAGAATACTTTGAGTTCCCTAGGTAGTAACTACCCTTAAGTCACTTAAATTGTTCCCTAAATAGTAACTACCCTTAAGTCTCTTACCTTGTTCCCTAGGTAGTAGCTACCCTTAAGTCACTTACATTGTTCCCTAAATAGTAACTACCCTTAAGTCGCTTACCTTGTTCCCTAAGTAGTAACTACCCACGTAGTCACTTACCTTGTTCCCTAAATAGTAATTACCCTTAAGTCGCTTACCTTGTTCCCTAGGTAGTAACTACCCTTAAGTCACTTACATTGTTCCCTAAATAGTAACTACCCTTAAGTCGCTTACCCTGTTCCCTAAATAGTAACTACCCTTAAGTCGCTTACCTTGTTCCCTAAGTAGTAACTACCCATGTAGTCACTTACCTTGTTCCCTAAGTAGTAACTACTCATGTAGTCACTTACCTTGTTCCCTAAGTAGTAACTACCCATGTAGTCACTTACATCGTTTCCTAAGTAGTAACTACCCGTGCAATCACTTAACTTGTTCCCTAAGTAGTAACTACCATGTAGTCTCTTACATTGTTCCCTAAGTAGTAACTACTCATGTAGTCAGTTACCCTGTTTCCTAGGTAGTAACTACCCAAGTATAGGCACTAACCTTGTTCCCTAAGTAGTAACTACCGTAGCCCCAGCTGCCAACGTAATCACTGCCACGGCCACCGTCGTAACTGCTGCCATCGCCGACTCCGTAAATGACGACGCAGCCGCCGCCGTAATAGACGCTGCCTCCTCCACCGTAAATGCCACCACCGCCACTACCTCCATTACCGCCACCGCCGGATCCGCCACCGCCGGACCCGCCACCGGCGTTACAGCAATCACCGCCGCCACTGCTATCACAGCCACCGTGTCCACTGGCGCCTTCCCCCATCGATACCGTGGAGAATTCGATGCTCGGATAAATAACTGAAATGTTGATGGAAATATAAGAATATAACTGCATCGTGGAACTCAACAACACAATCACGACCTAGAGGTGGAAGAATAAGCCGGACGCCTAAATGGCACTTAAGCCTGATAGAATGTTAACCAACGCATGTAATTCCTAAACATCGATTAATGCAATTAGATTTTATTTTTCAAAATATTATTGTGCTTTAGATACTAAACACCTAACACACATTTACGCACCGTGTTTTTAAAGTAATTAATCAATTCTTTCCGGCCGAAAGACAAAAATACAATACCCTAGTAGATCGAAAGAAATCTCATCTAAACTACGGCTATCCACATTGATTGCGACCTCTGTAGGAAAAAATGCTATTTCAGCATTAAAAACTTTGCGAAATGACGTATTTGCCAGTTGTACTATGGCTATTTCCAGAATACTTTATAAAATGATTCCAATTTGCACATTCTACGAGCAAGTTAAAATTAGTTTGCTTCTGCTGCTTCACTTGCGCGTTTTCGATTGGATTCTCACTCGCATTTGCGCGATGATTCATAGAGTTCTGCCAGCAAAACATTTAACGAAATAACTTTCACTAAGAATATCAATTAACGTTGGTAGAATTTTTGACCACGGTGACAGTGTGCAATAAAATTCAATAATCAAAATGTTGCGTGAGAACTTTCAGCACATTGTTCTGTTTGTTAATGAATTGGTGGTGAACCATATAAAAAAAGAATTGCAGTGGCTTCTTGAAAGGATAAAATTGGTAGTACTGGTAACCAGTGGTTCACACGACTCAACGAGGCCTATGTAATGGTTTTCACTGTTCTAGGTTTGCTACTGATCAATGGGTAACTAAGAATAGCAGATGCATCAATTCGCGTGGCTCTGTTGTATCCAGATTGCGACTAAAGTTCGTTGAGGCATCAGAGTTTAATGCCTCGCATTCAAAGTCTTTTAAGAAAATCGCGAAAATATCGTGCCCAGGACTCTTGATATGTATCAGACGAGCAATCAACTTATAATCGGATTGCACTACCCCACTATCTGAATATATCTTTGAATAGAACTTTGATAAAACTTGATTTGAATATAATTTTGATATAAATTTGAATAAAAGTAATTATAAATTTGCGTATAGCTTTGAGATAATTAACGAGTTTAAATATACTTTAGTAATCTAATCGGACCAGCCGAATTTGATTTTCAATATTAAACAAACTTGATTGTGCGATTGACTTAAAAGACGTAGCCTTAAACTAACGTCCAACTTCCCACAGAAGCAAATTTGGCATATAGTTGATGCAACCAAAAAAAAGGAAAATTGACACGACATTCACGCAAACCAAGGGATAGAGAATCAGATTTGTAGGAAGGATTTTAGATGCTTAATAACAGGTGAGCATGTCGCTGTTGCAGGTACTGGTTCGTAGGAAACACTGGTCAACACTGGAACAACACGGAACAAAGTATACAGATTGGAAGCTCATTACGTATGACTGATGGAATCTACCACTGCTCTGCACTGAGTAAAATACGTGAATCTTCCGAGATTGTTCTCTCAGTGCCCGGCATTGACTAGTCCGCACAGTCGGACAAAGGACGACCGCACTGCGAGTCAAACAAATTACTTTATATTTATATAACCTATATTATCATTGATTAATTAACTGAAATTTCAATAATTTTCGGTGAGAAATTTAGAATTTCTCACATTCACTAAAAATATCAATTAACGTTGGTACAATTTTTTTACCACGGCGACAGTTTGCAGTAAAATTCAATAATTAAAATGTTGCGTGAGAACTTCCAGCACATTGTTCTATTTGTAAATGAATGGGTGGTGATAGTGAACCAAATTTAAAAGAATTTGCAGTTTGTCTTTAAAGGATAAAATCAGAAGTAAAGGTTACAAGCGGATCACACGAATCAACGAGGCCTAGGTAATGGTTTTCACTGCCCTAGGTTTGCTACTGATCAATGGGTAACTATAAACACTTTCAAATAGTGTTTAATAGTGTTTAATAGTGTTCAATAGTGTTCAATAGTGTTCAATAGTGGATAAGAATAGCAGATGCATCGATTCGCGTGGCTCTGTTGTATTCAGATGGCGACTAAAGTTCGTTGAGGCATCAGAGTTTAATGCCTCGCATTCAAAGTCTTTTAAGAACAAGTCGGATATAAATCGCGAAAATATACAAGCAGTTTGGCGCCCAATCATTCGAAAGCAGATGAAGGTACGAAATTGGCATGAACTTACAGAAAATAATACCTTGTCCTGCGAAAATTGTTCGAATGCCGAATTAATATGGACACTGGATAAGAGACAATTCTAACCCGCAAGCCGATAATGGAACAAAACACATCAGTCACGACGAGGTCCTTCTCATCAATAGAGTTGATATAAGACGAATTTTGCCTCTAATGAAGAAGCAAATAAAAATGTTAAAAATTACGATTACGGCGAGTGAATTGTTCACACGTGACAACACAAAGTTGTTTAAAGTGAATAACAATAACGACATTGGTTTTTTTACAGACAGTGTCGCGCAATATCGGACAGTTCCATGACAAAATTAGGCTGTACGTTATTGCGATATCAAGTAGTGCCATCCCAATATCTATATAGAGACCGGAAAATTTTACACAAATTTTTTACACCCTGTATGCAAAACCCAACGTGCATCGGCTGCTGGTTCTGTCAGTTAGCGGCTTTCATATCAGGTATTCATGGTATGATAACGAGTTGGAATAAGCTCATAAAACAAATTATTATTTGCTGTTTCGCTGTCAACTACTTCTCAGCACTTATATATCGTTTGATTCACCTCTTGATGTCTTCAAGCAACCTGCTGTTAATAAATATTGTAGAATGGAAAATCATGACTTCTGTGTCTATATATAAAGCTTATCCTGCCATTTTAACAGATACGTTATGAATTTACCATTTAATTTACACGAGAGGTAAAATAATTGGAAAAATAAAATTTTATCTTGTATTATCGCATAGCATATGAAGAAGTACGTTTACACTTTTGTTAACGCAATTTTTTGAGCGGAAGATGGTAATACTGATAGAGGGCAATAGATGGTGACATGGCAATCATGACGTAGCTTGACCAGTTGCTCGTTTTGGTTAACATTATGCACATTCGGCTAATCGAGCAAGCGAGTCCTGAAAAAACAGGCTGTGCCTATCGGCCGAAGACAGTAAGTGGCCGACTCAGACCTGATTACCTCTAAGGCGAGTGGGGTGAACCTCCATATTAACGGAATTTAACTTTAGATTTGGTCTATTCCTTGTTGCCTTGAAACTCAATGCTGAGCTGATACAACAATTAGAACTTCAGCTCTCTCCCAGCGACACGATGTAACAATGGAAGAAAAGTGTAGGAATATTTTTGCCCAAACTCCATCATTCGATTGAATACTCTGCGCGGCAGTGGAAGCAGCCGTCATAGGAACACACGTGCAGAGCATAATCAACACATGTGCAGAGCACAATCAATACATGTGCAGAGCATAATCAACACATGTGCAGAGCACAATCAGTACCTGATAATCACAACTAAGCGTCTACGTACATGTGCAAGGCAACGGCATTTGCGGTGCGCAGCTACATTACCCATATGCGCAGGTGTATTTCATGAGCAAATGCAGGAGTCATGCGAAGATGCATGAGTAATACTTCGTTCCACGAGTCATGTGACTGCGTAAGAAATGTACAGCTGCATGAGTCATATGAAGCTTCAGAATTCATTTAAAACTGCATGAGTCAGGTGAAAAAACTGAATGAAAAACAGGTTAAATATCGTTTTATAAACTCGTGGCTCCAAGTCATGCCCATGACTCTTGATTTGTATCAGACGAGCGATCAACTTCCTATGCGATTTGTAAAGGCATCAGCAACCGCTGTGAAATTAATCTGTCTAATTCCAATCATTATAATTCGACATAACCTGATCACATTTATTAAGTGCGGATTCGATCACACAAGCCACTCTCCTCACTCATTAAATGCAGCTCGTAAACTGAGACCTATGCCAGGCAACAGCTGTGTTCTGCTCATTGCAAAAGGTTAATTGTCGTCGTTTCCAACTTTCTGCTCTATTGTAAATGATGGAAAATTTGCAAGATTGGCATATAAGAGGAAAGTTATTTCCGTTGATGCGTTTCATTTGCCATGTCATTGCGTCCCTCTCTTGAGGTGCTCTCCATAATATAGGAAACGCTAATGTTTGCTCAAGGCAGTCAGATGAGCACACATAACATAACACAGCGATGTCGGCGCTAAAAGAGGAGGCCTGATGTGGCCTGTCGCCGATTCTTGTACTTTTCGTGACTTGTTCACAGGATATCCAAAAGCATGTTTTTGACCGGAATTTTTCAACACTGACGATAGTTTGAAGTAGCTACTAGACTTCCACCGGGTTTGATATGGTGCTGGGCATTTCATGTGAATGTATATTTTTCCATAGCTTCATCTAGTCTTTTCTTGAACGCGTTCATAGTCGGAGCGCCAACTATGTAATCGAAGAGGCTGTTTCACATGTCGGTGATTCGAAGTGAGAGGAATAATTAATTCTAATAGGTATAATAGGTTTCTGATAGGTGTAATATGTGAAAATGGGCCGCTTGTTTGGAGAAGAAAAATTGTACTCATTACTGAGTTGATATTCTGATTCATTTGAAAGATGCCATGCACACAGCACAGTTTTTCAAGTACAACTTGCACAGATACCATGCGGCAGAGGGCGGCATTTTACGCACGAAGAGCTATCATATAATTAGTTGATATTTCCAGTCTTCTTCAGTCTAGAATTGCCTCTTTGTGTAAGCAAGAAAACTCGGTCTCTATATATCAAAATGAACTCTGATGTTATTCCGCCGTACGGTGATGCGCACTGTACACCATTGCACTCATAAACCGAAGAGACCAGCATTTGGGTGGAAATTACATCATTACATCTGAGCTAGGC